CGATGAGGAGGCGGCACCTCTCTGCGAGCTCCGCGGGCGGCAGAGCTCATCGCTGACCGAAGCGAGCAGCGACGGACCCGAGAATCCGCGGCGCGGAGAGGTTCGAGGGCAGGTGGCTGTGGTGCTGGTGGCATTTTGTAGTTGGCTGTGACAGAGTGTGTGAAAACGCAGATGCTGAGTGTCTTTGGAGTGTTTCGAAGCTAATGGTGCGGTCTTGTGTCTTGCTGCACTGTGAAAAACTCTGCTTCTGCTTTTTAAAGCACCTGACGACGCGAAACGAGTGATTCTCTGCTCCATTCCTCAATTCCTCATCTCATTTATTTTTTTTTTTCCTCTTCTCTGTGTTACAAGTCCTCTGTATTAGGAGATCCCTTAACGCTGGTTTTGACCATCTTTCTTGTAACACTTGTATCGTCTAAAGAAATTTTAACCGTTGTTTGTGGTGGGGATGGCTTCCCATGCTTTGAATTCCTCTCGCTACTAAAGCTTTAGCTAACATAAGCACTACTTCCACTTTTAATATAATACACTCCCAGCTTTAAAGAGTTTGGGGGAAAGGGTCGAGATGGGCCAGGAGATGTTACTATACAGTTAGGAAGATACCCGCTGTTCCTCCTGGAATCACCCTGGTTTGTGCAAGTGAGATAAAGGGGAAATTTGCCGGAGCGGGGCTGTTCTTGAGAAGTAACTATGCTGTCTAACAATATTGCAGAAGTTTTGGTGAAACCTGGAGCTTCACTTCCTCTTTCTTAAAGGCTCATAGAGTAATTCTGGATGTTCCTGAACAAAGTGCTACTATCACACGTAATAAGTTTCGGGGCGGGGGGGGAAAGCTTACAAGTCATACCTTGCATTCATAATAGTAATGAATTCTTGGTAAGAAATACTTGCTTCATAGCTAAGGATACTTTTTTTTTTTTAAGAAATCTGATATGAAAAGAACAGGTTTAAACATTGTTACTTAAGAAATCTGGTATGAAAAGAACAGGTTTAAACATTGTTACGGTAGATGGACAACAGCTTAGAAGGAAAACTGAAGCAGAAGTTACTCTGGCAGTCCCATGTATAGAGTAAGCGATGAATAGATAGGAATGTTGAAAGGCTCAGAAGTCTTCCAGCTACTCAAGAGGGTAGAAACTGTGGAAAAGGAAAGGTGAGATGAAAAATTATAATTGCAGTAGAAAACAAACTTCTGGTTTGAACAGTGATGTGTAAGCAGGCTCTAGAGCTGCACAGGTCTCTTAAATGTGGAGCGGGAATTGTTCAGGTGCCTGTGCTTGAACATGAGGAAAGTTACTGATTGTATGTCTTGGAATATAGAAATGGAATAATTGCCTAAACAAGAGAAAACAATTCTTCATTTCATTTGGTCTGGAACGAAAAAAAAAGTCTCATTGCTCATTTGTTTTAATGTATGAAAACTATGACAAGGTATGAGAAACTTTTGGAGTCAGTAGGGAAATATACTGTTGACTTCAGTGGCTGCTTTGACCGGTTGTTTTGCTGTTCACATCTATAAGGAATATGTACATAATGTATAGCTAGTTAAACTGGTTCAAGTACAATTATTTTGTGTTACATGCCTTATCTCTTTCAATTTTTCAGGTGCATCTGATTACCTGCTGGAAATACTTTGAAGTATCAACAATGACCTTGATGTTAACATTATTTCTTTGCGGAGTAGTTGCCTGTTGGGCTAACTCTACTGGTGATTCCATATCCAGGTTACTCCTCGTGTCCTTTGATGGCTTCAGGGCTGATTACTTGGAAACCTATCAACTTCCTCATCTTCAGGCATTCATTGAGGATGGTGTGCTTGTAAAACACGTTACAAATTCTTTTATCACCAAGACTTTCCCAAACCATTACACCATAGTGACGGGTTTACATGAAGAAAGCCATGGCATCGTGGCTAATGACATGTATGATGCAGATGCCAAGAAAAAGTTCTCACAGTTCAATGATTCAGATCCCTTCTGGTGGAATGAGGCAGTTCCCATTTGGGTAACAAATCAACAGCAGGGAAATGGAACAAGTGCTGCTGCAATGTGGCCCGGTACCGATGTAAAAATTAACAATATGACCCCGGAATTCTTTATGAAGTATAACTTTTCAGTATCGTTTGAGGAGCGAGTGGAGAAGATCGTTGCGTGGCTGAACAGCTCTGATCCAGTAGTCAGTTTTGCTACGTTATACTGGGAAGAACCAGATGCAAGTGGGCACAAGTATGGACCACATGACACTACGAACATGCGCAGAGTATTAGAAGAAGTGGATAATCATATTGGTTTCCTTACTAATAAATTGAAGGCATTAGGTTTGTGGGACACTATTAACATCATCATAACAAGTGATCATGGAATGGCCTCCTGTTCTGAAAAGAAGCTGATTATCCTGGATGGCTGCATTGGTCGCAATAACTATACTCTGATAGACAAGACTCCAGTTGCTGCTGTGCTGCCAAGGCAGAGTATGTTTTTGTTTAAGTCATACACTGAGAATTAAATCTTGTTTACCTTACTATGAAAAAGTACACACTATGGTAGACTGTTCACATCTTTTGCAGAACCAGTGTAGTTCGTATTGCAGAACTTTTTACATAATTTAATGAACAAGCTAAAGAATATTTGTTTATTTAGAAATTACTTTGTTTTGGTAATCAATGGGCCAAGGAGAGTTTCTTGTCAAATTGCTACAGATGGTAAAGATGGTCCTGGTACAGCTCGTTGAGTAAGTAGATCTGTACTTAGTATGCTGGCTCTCTGGGAGCTCACTTAGTCTATACGGTTGTAATTCACAGGGAGCATGAAATAAACCCTCATGTTTATTAAAAATAAAAAATTTAATTGTCTAAACTTCCAAGTAAAAACCTAAACCCAACTTTGATTGCTTTACCACTTCTGTTTCTGTGAATGAAACTTCAGTTTTCATACTGTGAATTCAATTTTTGTATTTTGGAGTAGTTACAAACAGGCAGGTCTTAAATCATGATACTGCTGGTCTCGGTTACCACAGCTGTGGCCAGGCTGAAGCAATTCTAACAAAGAAAGATTTATACTGTGACAAAATGTAATACTTACTGCTCTGGATAAAATATTGACTACTTTGGTGTGGGATTCCTTTCTCTTGATTTCTCTGCTTGAATTTTGCCCTCCTTCCCGCCCAAGCCTAGAGGGTTTAATGTTGGATAATTGCAGTAAACGGGACATAATTTCCAGCTGTTTCACATGCAGTTTTTTTTCTTGGCAGACAAAAGAGATGTGTATAACTTACTGAAAAAATGCAGCAATCACATGAAAGTATATCTGAAAGAAGAAATTCCAGACAGATTTCATTATCGTCATAATAAGAGAATTCAGCCCATCATTCTGGTTGCAGACGAAGGCTGGACAATTGTACAAAACGAATCACTTCCAAAATGTAAGTGTATTTGCCTCATTTGTGCTCTTGGTGGCTTATGTTGGTAAACTGTCTTGTTTTTATTCCAGCTTTCTGTAGGATGGTCCTGCTTTAGCGAGTGGAGTCCTGGCATTGTGCATCTTTAGGAATATCTCAGGATTTGTAGAACATTCTCAGCCTGAACCTGGAGTGTTTTAACAGATGAGGAAGAGATGGGGATATCCCATTGGCTAAAACACTTTGTCAGGTTCGATTTAATAGCCTGAATTACACTTAAAAGTAATCTTAGGCAAGTTAGCACTCTGTCTCAGGCTTCCACTAGAGTGTGGTTTAACTATTTTTTGTATATAAAATACATATATGGGGAGCATAAATTGAAGAATGCAAACCACAACATTTAATGTTACAGTACATATGCTAGGAAACAAAAATAAATGTGAGGAAATACTAAAGATAATAGAAACGCAACAGTAATGGTCAAAGAAGCCAGAGTACTTCCTGTTAGGGGCATAAAATAAGATATTTTAAAGACAAAAAACAAAGCAGATGTTACTTAACATAGTGAGTTGCTAAGCTATGTGCATTCTTCCTGCTAGATGCTATGAATGCCAAATTACATACATACAAATGTGTGTGTGTGTCTGTGTGCGTGTATATATATATATATATATATGTATGGATATGTATTTCCAGGTGTTTCACATGCAGGGTTTTTTTGGCAGACAAAACAGGTGTGTATAAATTACTGAAAAAAATGCAACAGTCACATGAAAGTATATCTCAAAGAAATTCCAGAGATATTTCATTATTGTCATAATAAGAGAATTCAACCCATCATTCTGGTTGCAGACGAAGGCTGTATGTGTGTGTATATATATATATGTATATTTGTGTGTTCAGAAAGTGATTGGACAAATTCATGGAAGAAAAATCCATTAATAGACATTAAATACAAAGGTGCCAACTTCCAGGAAGTTTCCAAGCAGCCGACAGCTCGAGGCTGGTTGGTATGTCAGGGCTGACCTGCGGGATACCTCCCAGACTCCCTGTTATGACCACTGTCAGAGACAGGATGCTGGGTGGTCTAAGCTCCTGGTTTTACCCAGTTTGGCTGTTCTTACTGTCTGCCCTTTGCACATTTAAGTTCAAACTTTTATCATTATTTATACAAAAGTACTGCTTTTAATGTAAGGTATGGTTATATTTCAATTTCCTCGCAGAGTTGCTACAGTCAGCTGCAAACTGACAACACTTAGCACCTGTTCTCTACTAGAGGTCTTGTGTTTATGGTTAGACTCAATTTCATGTGCCTAAAAATAGTTCATAAGTGTATATTTATAAGTAACAACATTCTATCAGTTGAAGTGAATCACTTTTCAAAACAGTTTTGCTCGCTAAGGCTTCCCAGAAGCAGGCAGGAGAGGATTTATCCTAAAAGGCTATTTAAGTGTTCATTGTAGTTAAGGGGCAGCGTAATGATTGGCAGGTGTACCAATGCCTGCACTGCCCCAGCAATGTTAGCACCCATGAACCCTCCTGCTTCAGAGGTGACAGATAGGAAACCTCATTGGAGAGGGGACTTGGAACAGCTCTGTTCAAAACAGGCAAGCAGAAGCTAAAAAAATGTGATCAGAAACATAGGACTGCATGAAAACAAACAAGCAGGATGCGGTGCAGCAGTATCTTTGTGGTAACAAACATAATGGTGGAAAACACTAAAAAGGATGAAGTGGTGAGTGTGACCTAATCAGTAGGAATCTTGACACTTCGCAGTAGGAACTTCAGTGAAGAAGCCAAGGACAGTTTTCAGGGAGACTTGTTCAACTGTTACTAAGAAATTAATTCAAAACTTAAATGCAGTCACGCAAATACTATGCTATGTGTCCTATGAGAAATTTTTGGCATTTTGGACAGATTTTTCGGGCATCTTATTAGGAAATGTGACTATGTCTCCTTCTTAGATGTTTATATTCCACCAAAAATCAGAGTATTTCTTAAAAACCTGCCAAAATCCACATACTGGTGACCTTGTAGCCACAAATGTTTTGCTGTATGCCTGTCACAGGCATTGTGATCCTTTGACTGTTTTTGGTTTTGACTGTTTGGGTATCCCTTCACGTGAAGTACCTGATCTGATAAGCATGAGTTGAGGGTCATGCTTCAATTGAGGTTACACTCAAACTGAACACTATGAAGGGGAAAGAGCTTGACTTTTAAGAAGTAATTAAAGTATCTGCTTTGCAAGGGGGTCTTTCCAAAATCTCAGTACCAATCTGCAATTCCAGCTAGTGGCTGGCTGCAGAGTGGCAACATTCTTTTCAACTTTGGCACGAGGAGTGGGAAGGAGAAAACTGAAAATGTTGATGACTGGAAGGAAAAGAGATGATGGGGGGGCAGGGAGGGAACTACACCTGAAGACCAGCATGGGAAAATACTTTTCAGGATTAGGAAAGAGGGAAGGAACTCTGGGATCCTTTAGTGTTTGATCCAACATCTACTTTTATGTTCTGCATTAGTCTTTGGTTAAAATTTATGCCTTTGGGGAGTGGGGAAGAGATATGGAGGGGAATACTCAATATGCAACTAGAAACTGTGAGGTGTTAACTCTTAACTTTGCATTTCTCCAGTAGGTGACCATGGCTATGACAACACTCTCCCAAGCATGCATCCGTTCCTGGCTGCTCGTGGGCCTGCTTTTCACCGGGGTTACAAGCACAGCACGATAAACAACGTCGATATTTACCCCATGATGTGCCACATCCTGGGACTGACACCACGGCCGCACAATGGCACTTTCAGTAACACCAAGTGCTTGCTCGCTGACCAGTGGTGCATAAATCTTCCGGAAGCTATTGGGATAGTTATTGGGGCTTTTATGGTCCTGACTACTTTCACCTGCATTATAGTAATAACAAAGAACAGAGTAGCTCCCCCACGGCCTTTTTCCCGACTTCAGTTACAATATGACGATGACGATCCTTTAATTGGATAGCATGTAGGGAGCCTCGCCTCGCTTGCTAAATAGCGATTTCAGGAAGAGTTTGAACTTGCACTGGATGGCATTCTGTGATGCACTTTAACAGTATCTGTATAAAATACTGTACAGCCAGATCTTGCTAATTTGTTTGTCCGTACTACCTGACTACTAGTGCTGTTAAAGTATTTTCAGAATAAAATGGTGAACAGGTGGCTTTCTGCTGAAAGATATGCTTAAGGATGCTTAGTTTTTCAATCAAGCCTTTGAACACTTTCAAAACAAAATTCCAGAGTATGAACTAGCCAGGAATAAATGAAGTGAATTTTAACATTTGTAAATGATAATTGTTTTTTGTATTAAATTTAAATTAATGTTGATGTCTTTTAGTGTTCTTGTACCTGTACTGGAAAGAAGATCTTTTTTTTAGGAGAGTTAGAAGTTAGCTCTGTTTGGACAGTATATTCTGATTTGTTCTTATGTTTGGGGACAGAGGGTATAGAGGAGATCCAATACTTCTTTTTCCACCTTAAGCCAGCAATATGACAGGAAACTGGTGAGAAGGAAAGCGGAAGTCAGTGAGGAAATTGGTGCATATTACTTCTGAGCAATAACGTATGCAGTTCAGCAGCTACACCACTGGGCAGGTGACTCTGACATTTCTAGGCATGTCTGTGGATGACTTGGTTCCACAGTTACTGCACTCGGAGAGTTGGGAGGGTACTACTTGCTTATCTCAAGGATGTTGATTTAATCTAAGAATCCTGGGATTACTCAGTTTATTGGGCTGTAGGAGAAAAATTACAGCTTCTAAACCCTGTTAAAAGTTTTTCAGGTGTAAGCTCTGCTGACAGTGTTTTTGTAATAAAAGTGGTTCTGCCCTGTGTGCCAGCTGATAATGATCTTTTGAAGGCTGTCATGCTAAAAAGCAATTCCAATGGTTCAGATGGTTCCTGCTGTAGTAATTCCCATAACATGCAACTCAAGTTACGAGTTACAACAATTTAAAGGTATTTCCATTACAGTCTCCACTCCTGGCTCCTTTGGACTAGACCATCAGGTGTAACACTACAATGAACTCCTCCCTTGCCCCTGCTTGGGCTTATCCACAGGCTGCAGTCCCTGAGGGCTGTACCTGCTCCAAGTGGAGCCTTATCTACGAGCTGCAGTCTCTGCAGGGCTGTACCTGCTGCAGCACAGACACAGCCACAGTCGCTCTGAGGTACACCTGCTCCAGCGTGGACTTATCCTTGGACACAATCCCTTCAGAGGTGTACCTGCTGCTGCACAGACATAACCACGGCCACAGACGCTTTGAGGTGTTCCTGCTCTGGCGTGGACTTATCCATGGCCAGAGATGGTTTAAGGTGAGTAACAACAAAGTGAATGTTTTGCAGGGTAGAACCCAGGCTTAGAGATGCTGTGAAAGGGAGGATGCTTGAATTCCTACACTGGAGAGTTGTTAGTTTCTTGTAATTTTACTAACGAAAGCTGCCATCCTCAGAGTGCGGCAGACTTGCTGGGAAATGCTTTGCTAAGATTGATAAGACTGAACCATGCTGTCCTCTCCCTGTAAGGGTTTTTTTTTCCTAGATGCTAAAACTGATTAACACAGTATAACCTCCCCTCTATTCTTCCCTTCCACTTGCTTCCCCTGAAGAGCTGTGTCACAGCCTGTGACTGACCTGGTTTCAGTTCCTCTATGCATCACCAGCATAGGCCTGGTGTCAAAGTTACCAAGATTTTTTCACTCTAATCTGAAATACAAATATTGTTACAGATGGGGAAATTTAGGTCTAAATGCATTTTTCCTTCTAGCTCGAGGTAGCCCTTTCTGATAAGAACTGCTACAGGCAGCTGAGCTGCTATGAAACCAGAAAAGTGAGTGGCAGTATCTAGCAGAAATCTTTATTACCCTCTACTCCTCCTCTCTTTGGTGCTGAGACTAAGCAGTACTATTGTAGGAAGGTTTAATGAGAAAGTTTCAGTATTAAGAAATAGGATAATCTATATTCCAGTGGCATTGCTCCTTATTTTCAATTCCAAAGATGCAGTATGGTCTAGAAGAGTGCCAAGTATTCTTCCCCGCACAATTCCCTGCTGTTGGCAGGGAGGGTTTCAAAGTAGCTCTTGTCTATACAGGATTTCATACAGATCATGTACACATCAAAAGAATCTAGAAAAACACCTCTTCCTCTTTGAAAACAAAGCTGATGTAGTTAAAGATGAGTATTTTTAAAAGTGTCAGTGCCTTTAACATGATGAACTATTTCAGCTACCTAATGATGGTTTGTGTGAATTATTGCTTGTGAAAGTCAGCAGCTGATTTCCTTTTCAACAGCTAACTCAAATCAAGAACATGAGAAGCTGTGGCTTCCTCCTTCCTCAAAGCTGTGATAAAGGAGACATCCTACAATACTTTGTGGCAACATTTAGAAGTATACGCAACTCTGCCACGTGTATTAACTTACAGGAAGTTCTTAAGGTCTCAACTAGCACTGAAGTTTAGAAGGGATTAGAGAAAGGATACTGCTGGGAAGTAGTGTTACAAAGACTGACATTTTGTTATGTTGACTGCCTCCATGAAGGAACTCTCAACCCTGGCTAGAGAAGCCTTAAAACATCCACCCCTCTGGGTTTAGATGCTTTTTGTCCATTAGCACCAACAGTTCCAGCACTGAGCTGATTTCAGCTAACTGTAAGTCCAAACCACTTGTTCCAGGGGGAAGTTTAACTTGCTATAAATTGAAAAGAATAAAAATAAGCCAAAAATATCATGTACCTCCAAGGATCAGACCACAGGGACAGACGTTTGCTTTAATATGCATGATAACACCTTTTATTGCGAAAAACCAGCAATAGGTATTTCCTAATATGATTCAGATCAGGATTTCATAATGAAAGGCCAGACATTTGCAATGCTGTGGATACTGCTACTGTACTTACCATTTTCATGTGCTTGCAACAATTTTTATAGAGTAACATTTAATAAATGCTTACATGAACTTTACTGTAGTACAAACATGCCATTTGAAAGTACAGCACCATAGCAGGTATGGTCAAGACAGCATCTATCGCCATTATTGAAGCAGAAAAAATTCAAAAGTAAGCCTGCTATGTTTGTGTTTCACAAAACAGCAGGACTCAACAACTGCACGTTTGTCATTCTTCCCACACGCAGCTCAAGATTGTGTTGTTCCACACTTCTGAAAAGTCACGCTGCACATCCCTTCATTTTAGAATTGGCATTTTTGTACTTTTTTTTTTTTTTTGAGACAGCATTTATTGTAAACAGCATTGCTGCAGCTCTTTACCAAGAATGTCTGGAAGATTTTTTTGATAAAAGAAGCTTATTACCATTGTTGGTAACAGCTGTAATTTCCATATACAGAAGCAAGGTGGAAAATGAGGTCTTTTATATAAGAACTTTGACCTAAAATTCTCAAGATCTATCACATTTCCAGTTATTTTTAATGAAGGCATACACTATGAAGAGTACAAGAAATATTTGGGATGCATATGATTTAAGGCCATTCTCCTCTGTCTGTCCCCCAACAATTCAAAAGTTTTTCCCCAAATTGTTTTTAAATGAAGCAAGCACTCAATGCTTGATAACACTACAGCAAAGATGTATTTCAACTTCAACATTTCCAAACAGGACAAAACAAAGCAAGCGTCTAGCATCGTAAAGTATGCTTCACCGGTCAATAACGAAAGCCAAAATCATGCAAGCTTCTCAATTCCAAGCTTAAGTTACAAGCAGTACACAGTGTATTCAAATCCACTTTCCAATAAACTTGTTTGTACATCATAAAAAGTATCATACACACAGAAACCAAATCCTACGTCCTTCCCAACCAAGAAGGTAGTCTGAAAAAATCTCACATCACATCAGAGAAAAAGTTGGTCTTTTTCTCCAGTGGTATCACGTGAGCTTTCAGTTTCACTAAGCATACACCCAACAACTTAAAACAGTGTTTAACACTGGCTAGGCAAACAGCCTAATGAGGTAACTACCCAAGGGGTACCTGCAAATACACCTAGAAGATGAAGGAAACATGTTTAAACCTAAATTGAAATACCCGAATGCTGAAAGATTCCCTTCAGTTTTCTACAAAGTGTCATTTTACCCTCCTCAAAGAAGGGCCTTACAGTGCACTACAGAACAATGACATCGAGAAGAATTCTCACGTTCGCGTTCCCAAGCTATTTTGAATAGTGTTGTTCCCAAAGCCTTTGTTAGTGGAAACCTATTGCTCATCCCTTGTTGCATATTTGGACAGGTAAGCCTAAATTCCAGGATGACTGATCAACTTCGCCCCCTCCTTAAAACCAAGGGTCACCTTGGCTGATGATAGAACTACCCCCATCACAATTAAAAAAGTGTGAGTTTATAATTATGTAAGAGATTATAATTCAGTTATTTATGCATCTGCCATAAGCATTACTTTGCAATTAGTGCAATAACAAGATTTTCTATTAAAGCAGCACGTTCCAAAGTGAGAAAGTGTGTTAACTGAAGTAGCTACAGGTGAGGATTATGGCATCTCTCTGTCCATCTCTGACTTTCACTGTTATTCCCTTAACCCAATTTGTAGATCCTCCTTGAAACACACACTAGGTTTGTGCTACAATTTGGTTTTAAGTTGCAAATAAGCAGGAAAAGGTGGACTCAATACATCTGTTATCTGCCATCCACTTTTTGGAAGGAAGCTAGAAAAGAGATTAGCAACAATTTAGAGGTTTAGGTTTTCTACTCAGACTTCCCCAGCCTCTCTAGAAACTGCTGTGAACATCATTACTGATTTCATCTTTCAGCTTGGAAACCCCCTGCAGCATTCAGTTGTAGCTGTCATCAGCAAGTTAAACTTGAGACACACCTAATGGTCAGCTCCACCAAGAATCAGCTTTACAGCGTCCGGCACACCTAGCCCTGTGGTCTTCCTTCAGTGTTTTCTGAAGAAAATGGCAACGTAGGAAAACAAGGCAGCACACAGAATAGTCATAGCAGAATTGCA